GATATTGCTGTTATTTTACCTGCTGGAAACCTTGCCTGTGGATTTACTATTTACTTGTTCCTGAGCCTCACTTGGATTATAAGCGAAGATAACCTGGGGAATATTGCATCTCCGCTACACCCACAGTAAAGCCAGATCCTGTTTGACCCTCAATGCGGAGCCTTGTCTAGATTATTGAGGGGCGAGGGGTAGTGATTGTGATGCCACCGGGAACTGATTGCTGAAACCGAAAGCTGCTTGGTGGATATCTTTGTTCGGCGGTTAGTGGATTTCTGTTCGGGAGTTTGGAGCCTTTCACGGATCCCGGTCGGGAGATTACCGCTTCCCCTGATGGTGGTTCGTATACTGCAGTCTGTGCGAATGGAGTTCATGATATTGCGAAAGTGGAAGGTTAACTAAACGGTGGTTTCTCTTAAAGACACCAGGGGTGTCTTAACAGCAGCCGTCTACAAGGAGATTTTGTATCACTTCATGCTTCCTTCCGCAGACTAGCTTTATGGGGATGCTAACTTCATTTTCCAGCAGGACTTGGCACCTGCCCACACTGCCAAAAGCACCAGAGCCTGATTCAATGACCGTTGGATTACTGTGCTTGATTGGCCAGCAAACTTGCCTGACCTGAACCCCATAGAGAATCTATGGGGCATTGCCAAGAGAAAGATGAGACATGAGACCAAGCAATGCAGTAGAGTCTTCCATAACACCTCAGCAGTGCCACAGGTTGATAACTTCCATGCCATATTGAGGCAGTAATTGCTGCAGAAGGGGCCCAAACCAAGTACTGAGTCCATATGCATGCTTATACTTTTCAGAGGTCCAATATTGTTCTATGTACACTCCTTGTTTTATTGATTGCATGCAATATTCTAATTTACTGAGATTGTGGATTTGGGGTTGTCATGAGCTGTAAGCCATAATCATCGCACTTATGACAAATCACGGCTTGAACTATCTTGCTTTGCATGTAATGCAACTATCTCATATTAGTTTCCCTTTTATGTTGCATTACTGAAGTAAATGAACTTTTGCATGATATTCTAATTTTGAGTATCACCTGTATATCTGTATGTGCAGCATTTTGTACAGAAATGCTGCACACTCACATTCCAAGCACCACAACTACTTCAAAGCACTGAAATGAGCATGGTGATTGGAGTAACCCCATGGGTGTAGGAACCCCCAAAAATCTGGGGGGGGAAATAGCATTTTTACTCGCCGGATATATTCTTATTCCGTAAACTAGGAGTGGTTTATCCCATTGTACAGCGCTATGGAATTTGCAGTTGCTATATAAATGATTAAATAAACATTAAAGGGTCACTACAGGGAAGGGATTTTACTTACCCGGATACATCGCCTGGATCCTCCTGATGCCGCGCCCCCTCTTGTCAAAATGACGACATAGGAGGGTGCGAGCAGGGAGCAATAAAATGCTTCTATTCAGAAGAGTCATTGCTCTCTGGTGCGCATGCGCAGCTTTGCCGCACATGCACAGATACTTCATAGGGCGGCATTCATGTCTCGACTAGGAAGCACCTCTAGTGGCCATCTGAGTGTCCACTAGAGGTATTCCTCAGCAGTAATGTAAATACTGTCTTTATACGATATGGCAATGCTTACATTAAAAAGCCTGCGAAGACATGCTATAGACACCAGAACTACTACGTTTAGCTGTTGTGGTTCTGGTGACTATAGTGTCCCTTGAATATAGAGGAAAAAAGAATCATCACAAATGTAAGAAATAAAATGTCTATCATTCTAAAAATTATTTTCAAAAAAAAAAAAAAAAAAACACAAATTCCTAGCTTAATTTTTAGCACGACATATGACAAACATTTTGTACTTTGCAGATTACTTTTTATATATTTTTTTTTTTATACATACACAGATTGTGTAATGCTGCCCCTGTCTTAGTGTGACCACATTTCCTGTCATTCAGTGACACTGTCAGAAAAGCATTCCTTACATTTTACTACCCGTCTCTACCCCTTCCATTTATATTAGAACCCCACCTATCCTTTACATGAATATTAGAACCACCCCTACCCCTTCCATGCACAAAAGAACCCCACCTACCTCTTCCATTCATATTAGTACTCCTCTAACCCCTTCCAATAATTTTTCTACCTACCCCCACCCATATTAGTAGCCCCCCTAAACCCTTCCAATTATTTTTCTACCTTTGTTCCCCAACACTTTTTACCTGACATAGCAGGGGGACCTCTGGATGTCCGGCAGGCGCAGTGCCAGACTGAGCACCGGGTAGTCACATGACACCCGGCCAGGGCAAGGTTTTTTTGCCGACCTAGGCAAAATTAAAGTTTGCCGCTCCCCTCCCCCCCATGTGACATTACAATGCCCCACCTCATATGATCTGCCATGTTACTCAACGCCAGTGCTGGAGTGCCGCCGTGTTTACATTAAAAAGGCCTGCAGGAACAGGCTATAGACACCAGAACCACTACATTAAGCTGCAGTGGTTCTGGGGACTATAGTGTTTCTTTAATGTGAGGTAAATTAGAGATTAGTGCCACGAATAATATGCTAGATTGCCTATTTACAACCAGATGAGGATGATGATGGGCTCTAGCTACAGTCTGGCTCCACTGGTCTGGTGTAGAACAGGCTCTCTGGAGGCTGTTTGTAACTGTGGTCACAAAAATCAATGTTCTGTGAGAACAATGCATTGTGTGTTTTTCTGTGTGCATTGTCTGTGTGTAAGGGGTGCATTGTGTGCAATGTCAATCTCTCCCCCCTCCCCCTCGGGCTTCCCCTCCCAGTCAATTCCCCATGTCAGTTTCCATATCAGAATTTCCCCGGCCGGTGCACGGAAGCGGATGCTCTAGTACCCGCCCAGGACATAAGAAGGGGCTTCGACCGTACTGGTGAGGGGGTGACGGGAGGGCGCTTCCCACTCCCTGTCGGCCCTCTCTCATGCTGGCGCTTGATTAAGCCCTCCCTGGGCGCGCCAGCTGGGCAAGAAGCTGCAGCTTGCCTGAGGCTCTCTGCAGGCGCTGGGGCTGCAGCATGAGGAGCAGTGATTTCTCCATAACCTGATTTGCTGGAAGTCTGCATCCCCACGGTTCCCCTCGCATACATGAGTAACCCTCTAATGGAGCCTCATGTTATTTCACATGTCAGTGTGAAAAGCAGTTCAAAAAAAGTGTTTTTTTTTTGCATTATTCTCACAGTACAATGTGGCATTTTCCAGAGAAATGTATTCCCTACCTCATACTATGATAGGAATGGATAGGGGCTCACATGGTTTTAATACTGACAATGCAAAGTGGCACACAAGTACGCCAGCATATTCATGTCTGAATTAAAAATAAAAAGGATTACCAAAATGAGTTATGCAAAAGAAGTGTCATGAAATGGTGGCATTATATCAATGATGTGCTGGTTTGTGGGATGGTACATACATACCTGAATTTTCATTTAAAAAATAAAAAGTAACAAGCTTTAAACTAATCTGTATAGGAAACCTAGATAAGAACACTACCCTACACATTACCATGCTCCGACGGTCTTTAAAGCTGTACCTATAAGTCAATATATGAAAGTAAAGAGGCTAGTCTCTAAAAACAGACAGTTCATCAAGAACAAGTAGCCATGACAGAAAGGTTCAAACAATGAGGCTATCCTGTTGGGATTGGATGCTTCATTAAGTAATGTAGGAGATCGGGATCAAAGAGCTGTTCATCTCAGACCACCTAAGCGTGAGAAGAGAATCAAATTTATTTCATGCTATGGTAC